AGCCTCCTGCCAAGCCAGTATTTCCTGGTGTGTTTGTTGAGCTCTGTACCATGACCCTCACTGTTTATGTATAGGACTGTTTGGAGGGTCTTCAGGGGAACTCAGCCTTTTCAGAGGAGATCATATGCTTTAGTGTTGTCCACAAACACTGAGATTCACAAGGTTTGAGACCCACCCATTCATTTGGCAAAAGTTAGAATGCCAGATGCAAAGATACAACAGTAAGCAAATGGGTGTGGCCTTAAAGCGGAGCTGAGGGCTTTAGGGCCTACTGACCTTGGGGTCCCACAAGAACCCAGCCACAGCTTCCCAGCCTCATACCGACCATTCTCTCCCTCACACCCCCCTGGTCACTGTTTAGCATGCTACCTCTGCCTACCTCAGAGCCTTAGCACCTGCTGCAAGTTGGGTGGAGCAGCCTCCCGTCTTGGATTGCTGCCTCTGGTCTCCTCTCAGATGTCATCTTCCCTACTGTATATCTTGAGTGGTGCCCATCACATCTAGCCCTTTCCCCTGTGACTGCCTCATGACTCTGAGGTCAATGAGGGCTAGGGATACCCACTCCACCCACTGCCATTGCCCTATACCCAGAGCAGCATCTCCCTCAACCAGAGAAGCCCACAATGTGGTGCACGTCAGGGGTCTTGCCACTCTATGCCATTCACCATACTGGGAACCCATTCCTACCTCAGCCACCCCAGGCAAAGGTGAATTTGTGTGTTAGGGTCTCCAGCCCAGAGAAGCCCAACACTACCACTTTGTGTTTCCTCCCTCCTGTTTCCTGCTCTCACAGCTATTTTAGGGACATAAGCCTTTGTACACCAAGTGTGGTCCTCACCACCCTTTGTAACCACCCAGATTCCTGTAACATTAAGGATTCCACAGAAATTCCAGGCTCTAGCTTTGCTTGACAAAAAAAGTCAAGGCATTTGTCTCCACGAGGAACACAGTTCCATGTGGGAAATGCTGGCTGGTGTTGGACGATTCTCAGGCATTTGCAGTCATGCTGTCTCTGGCTCTCTAGAAGAAGTGGGCACCCCCCTACCTTGGCTTTAGCATTCCATGAGAGCCATCGTCTCCATCATGCCAGATTGTGTTAGCCAGATTTTTCATTGCTGTGCCAAGTATCTACAAAGAACAGGTGAAAGGAAGAAAGGCTTATGACTCACCGTTTCAGACATTGCAGACCATGGTCACCTGGCTTCATTGCACAGGCCTGTGGTAAGGTAGGACACCATGGCAGAGAAGTGGAGTAGTGGAGCAGAGCTGCTTACCTCATGGTGGCCAGGAAGCAGAAAGAAGCAGGAAAAACCCAGAAGCCAGGCACAGTGACATATACCCATAATCCTCTGGAAGGCTGATAAATGTGATAAGTTCTAGGCCAGTCTGGGCTATATAGTGAGACCTTATGTCAAGACAAACAAAACAAAATGAAGGGACCATGAATGAAGCTCATCTTTCAAAGGCACATAATAGTGACCTCCTTCTCCACCTTCCAACAGGGCACTTCCCAAGAGTCTACTCAAATTGTGAATCTGGGGCTGGTGGGATAATTCATTTGATAGCAGTGCTTGATACCAAGCTTAACAACCTGAGTTTGGTTCACATTGAGGAAGGTGAGAACCAAGTTGTCCTTTGATCGCCACAGTGTGCCCGCAACACAAGATAAAGAAAAAAATGGAAACAAATTTTTGATTCTATTGATGGTTTGTGACCTGCCTCCTCTGGAAACACCCTGGCACATTCGGAGGTGGCTTCACCCTTCTAGGTTCTTCTCAGTGCAGTCCTATCCACAGTCAAGGCTGGTATCACACACTGGCTGTCCTGGGAGCCAGCCCAGAGGAGCTTCTGGCCTTGGGAACACAAGCTGCCAGGGCCATTGGGGGGTGTGGCTATAATCTCCATGTACTATTTGTGCTTCTTTATGGGGTACAATATGACAAGCTGCCCTGAATGGAATGCAGTGGGAGTCAACTCAGGAGAGGAACGTTTCCATCTCCTCAGACAGACATCACCCTCAAACTCCTCCAACTCTGGAAATGTCTGGTAAATTTGCTGTGGACTAAAGGCCCTTACTGTGCTGAACACTAGAGCCACTTCCCCCATCTCACTGTATCTTCGTCTTTGTTATCCAGCTTCCTTGTATCTCTTCTACGTCCTCATTTCCTGTTCCCTTGCCAACCTTCACCCAGCTTTCTACTGCTGTGTGTGGTTTAGTTTCTGCCAATGAGTGAGAACATGGTATTTCTTGCAGTTCCTGGTTTATATCACTTAACTTAGCATCCTCCAGTTCTGTCCATGTTCCCATGACAGAATTCCAACCTTTTTACTGCAGAATAGTACTCCACTGTGTTTATATGCCATGTGAAAAGAATTCATTGATCTGTCATAGATGCTCATGTCTTGGCTTTCTTAAACATGGGTGTGTAGGTGAGTTTGAATGTATATACACACTCATATATAATCATAGCCATTCTAACTGGAGCCTGTAGCTCAGTGTGCTTTTTACAACACCTTGCTGTTTAGTGTGGTTGAGCATTTTTGCATATACTTTTTGGCCACTTGTCTGTATTCTTTTATGTGTATTTGGATCTTTCCTCATGTTTTGTTTGCTTGCTTGCTTGCTTGCTTGCTTGAGATAGGGTCTCACTAAGTTGTCTGGCCTGGCCTGGACTTCCTAGGCTCAAGCAGTCTCCACCTTCAGCCTTCCAGGTAGGCCGATCTAGAGCTGAGCACTACAACACCTGGTTTATGTCCAGTTTTAAATCAGCTTTATGTATATTCATGTGTGTATATATGTGTACACATGTGTATGTGCATGCATGTGGATGCCACAGGATAACCTGGATTATCATGTCATTCCTCAGGCATTGTCCACATTTTTTGAGACACGGTCTCTCACTGGCTTGGGATTCACCAAGTAGGGTACACTGGCTGGCTAGAGAAAGCCAGGGGTCTGCCAGTCGCCACATCCCCAGTTCTGGGTTTATGGTCTTGGTGTTACTCTGCCTAGCTTTTTTGACATGAATTCTGTGGATTGAACTTGGTTCCTTGTGCTTACAAGGCAAACACATTACTGACTGAGCTCTGAATTTCGAGGGTTTTTTTTTTTTTTTTTTTTTTTTGTGATGGGGATAACATTGAACCTGAAGATTGCTTTGGTCAATGTGGATATTTTACCAATATGAACAATATGAATTCTTCTATCCATGGCTAGCCAAGGATAGCCATTCTGCTATCCTTGCGGACATTTTAGATAAAGGATTCTAAACAGCAGAGAGTCGAGGACTAGGGCAAGAAGCTAATCAGCACCAGCCAGTGTTTGCCAAGGGCAGGCAGGCAGAAGGGCATTCTCAGCAAGCTTGCACCAGGTCACATGTACATGGCTGATCGGTGTCTCAGGTTGGGAACTGGTTCCATGGCCTTATCTCCCTTTGACTTACAGTATGTAGAGGATGTATATGGGTTATATGCAAACACTGCCCCTTCTAAACTAGGGACTTGAGCATCCTGGGATCTCAGTGTCTTCAGCAGTATGGAATCAATCCTGCATGTATGTTGAGGGATGGCTTTGTCTCTCTGTGCGTATTTTTAAAAGTATTTGTAAGTAAATTGTAGATATCATTTCCCCATTGCACTGGAATATCACAGTATGCATTTCCCAAGAAGGGCATTGACAACACAGTTCCATATTCCACACATGAAGTTTAGGGTATATAATATATAATATTATGATATATAATTATAATATGTATTATATAACACTGCCTTCTAAGCCACAAGCTATGTTCAGATTCTCTACTTGCTACAATAACGTGGGTTTTTCTATTTTGTGTGTGTGTGTGTGTGTGTGTGTGTATACACGTGTTTATACATGTGTTTGTGGAGGTATGCTTGCTCCTGCAGGTTCATGTGCAGGTCAGAGGCTGATGCTGGATGTCTTCCTCAATGGCTTCTCCACCTTATTTTTTTTTATTTTTTCTATTTTTTTATTTTTTTGGTTTTAGTCTTTTTGAGACAGGGTCTCCCTGTAGCCCCAGCTGGCCTGGATTTGCTATGGAGACCAGACTGGCCTTGAACTCACAGAGATCCACCTGCCTCAGCCTCTCGAGTGCTGGGATTAAAGGCATGCGCAACCACACCGGGCTTCTCTACCTTATTTTTTGAGACAGTCTCTCACTGAACCTGGAATTTGTCATTTCGACTAGCCTGGCTGGCCAGCAAGCCTCAGGACCCTTCTATCTTCACCCAGCACTAGATGCACACAACTTTGCACAGCTTTTACATTTATAAGCACTTTGTCCACTGACCCATCTACCCAACCTCTACAATATTTTTTTAATAGCAATTTCCCCCAACTGAACCCAGTACCAAGGTATCCACTGATAGGTAAAGTAACCTATGGATGAATCTGGTTGATCCGGAGAAAGCACCAGGACACAGATAAAACTCCATCAGAATAGAGTTTATTAGCAAAGGAAAACATGGGACAGATTCCCTTCCGGGCAGGGAAAACGTCTGCCTGGGTCATGAGCTGGGGTCTTTTAAAGGGGGGAGGCTTCTGCTTCCTGCAGAAGGCAGGAAAATGTATTGGGGGGGAGGGGGAGCGGGAGAATGGGGCTGTTAAAACCTGCCCTCTTTAGAGATCAAAGGGGAAGCCTGCTGTGTTGGCCAAACAGTGGAGAAAAGTCTGCTTCTCTTGATTTCAAAGACCAGGGTGCTTATCAACTCAGTTCCCTTTTCTCAGGGGCTTATGAGGACCTGTTGGTGAGGGGGCGGGGCAATCTGAACCTTAACATCCACTACAGTCATTTATGGTGTGTGCCTAGACTCCTCTCATCTGGACCTGTTCTCCAGGCTTCCCTTGTCCCGCACAACTTTGACATTTTTGGAGGTGTTGGCCAGTTGTTTTATAGACTGTTCCTCAGTAGGGCCTAAAGGATTCTGAGCTGTCTTCTGAGAACACAGGCTGAAGACCATCTCCTGTTTCCTTTCTCCAGGACCGGGCAGCAGGCGAGAGAGACCCCTGTCAGCAACTCGCAAAGCATGCGCAGCCCAGGACCCGGAGGAAGACGCCTCTGCTGTACTGAAAGCCATCCAAGTGGAGAATGCAGCCCTTCAACGAGTATTCCTCAGCCAAAAGGCGGAAACTCCTGCCAGCCCACGGCAGGTGCGAGCACTGAGCACTGATAGAGAAGAGGATGGAGGAGGAGGAGAGCAGAATAGAGGTGGGGGAGAGGAAGACTGAGGAGGGGAGCAGGTAGGAGAGAGGAGGGCTAGAAGGGAGAAAGGAGGATGGAGAATGAGGCAAGGAGGGTGGGGAGAAGAAGGGAGGGTTGAGGAGGGTGAGAAGGGGGCTAGGGCAGGGGAGGAGGATGGAGAAGGGGGAGAGAAGAATGGAAGGATTGGGTAGGGGGAGAGGATAGAGGAGGAGGAGGAGAGGGCTGTGGAGGGGGACAGGCAGGGGAGAGGAGGGCTAGGAGGGGAGAGGAGGATGGAAGAGGCAGGAGAGGGAGGCTGAGGAGGGGGAGAAGAGGACAGAAGTAGGGGAAAAGAGGATGGAGGAGAAGGGGGCAGAGTAGGGGACGGAGGCATACAAGCAAGGTCTGAGCAGCAGCAGATGGGGACAGGCATGTGGCTTTCCCTGAGTGTAGACTCTACATTTCACCTGTTCACAGACAGCTACTCTCTATCCTTGCAGAGCCCACTACAGCCACTGTCTTGCAGTTTTTTATTTATTTCTGACAGCTGTAGCTCATTGTGAGTCATTTCCCTGCACACTTGGGAGCTCTCAGACCTGGGTTACAAACAACCAGGCCAGAGCATGACAGAGTGGACAGCAGAGCACAGCTCTCCTGGAGCTTGTCCCCAGAGCACAAGCCCCACGGGTTCCCTGATGTCCCCTGTTCCGCCTTTTTCATTCATGCAACCTCCCAGGCCTCTAGTAACAAACTGGAAGGTCAGAAGTGGGATAGAACAGGGGCTTGGGGGAAGCTAAGGCCTTTCATGCTCCTTAGCATGTGGCAGTCTCTGGCTCCACTGCCAATAACCTTCTCCTTAGCCTGTCCCACTTGAGGTTCATGGAAACCTCACAATAGACAGGTCTGTGTCCTCTGCCTGGCTTAGAGGTGTGGCCAGCTGGGGTCATGTCTTTGCAAAGTCAGCCTGGCTGCCAGCCTGCAACCCTGTCCACACTGCCCTGTGCTCCCTGTCTAGAGTTAGTTCTTAGGGTTGTTGAACAGAATGTGAGGTATATCCTCCAGAGTGCTGCTCTTTTCACAGCCTTTGAGATGTGGAAAAGGGCCCTGCCTCTCTGTGCTCCTTGTACAGGAAAAGTACACAGTGATGACTTCGTCCCTTCTTATGTTATATAATGTCATCTTTGCAGGATGTGGAAGGACCACCAGCAAAACCACAGCCCAGTCTGCTGAAGGACAAGGAGGACGGCTCTGAGGTTAGTACAAGACAGCCAAAGCAGGCTGGGCATGCACACAGGCCCCTCCATCCCTCACTGGCCCAGGGGTCTCCAGCTGCTTCCCTTTCCACCGTCCCAGCAGCACCTCTCTGCAACCCAGGTGCCACTCTTCTGCCCATTCACAGGTAGCTTGGCCAGCCTTTCGAGTTCAAGCCAGAGCTCAGCCAGACCTGATGACTGACTTCCTCCTGTTTTTCTTACCCTTTGGGACAACACTAAAACAGATCTTTGTGCTAGGAATACATAAGTCATACTTGTATCTGTTCAGGTCAGTCAGGCATATCTCACAAGGATGTGAATTCATAAAGCACCTGGGAATGTCTCCATTGCATCCAGGGTCTCCCTGGTGCTCCAAATATAGAGATGGCCCAAACGGATATGCCATGGCTACAGGGAGCTTACAGGCCACAGCCAGCAGAGCCAATAGAGGCATTCGGACACACCTGGAAGTGGGGTGTGACTGCTTTGACAAGTGTTCCAGAAGGCTGCCTGGAAGGCATGTCAGGTTTGAGCTGAGTCCTGTATACTGTTACCTATAGCAGGGGACAGTATCTGTGAGGAAGGAAAAGCTCCAAGGTGGCAGTGAGTTAGCTATACTAAGGACCAAGGAGAAGCTCAGTGTGCCTGGGCAGAGGGAGGGCCCTGAAATGCAGGAGGGGTTATAGAACACTAGAGCCCCTAAGTGAGTTCTTCCTGCTCCCATCCCCTTTGTCCGAGTAGGTAGCCATTATCTTAGGCAGAAGCCAGACAGTATTCTGACAGGCCTGGGATCCAGAGTTCTTGTATAGCCTAACCCTTGACCCCTCCAGCTTTCAGTGACTACAGTCATCTACAGACAGGCGTCAGATCCCATTTCCAGTTCAGATGATAGATGAGAAAGAGGGAAAGGCTGGAGAACCAAGCACGGGTCTCTGTGCTGTCCTGTGTCCTCTGTGGGGTCTGGTTTCTTTGGAGAGAACTGAACCTGACTGAGTTGAGATGGAGAATGGTTAGATGAGAGAAGTATTCAGTAGTTCATAGAAGGATCATTTCCCAGAACCTCCCAGATCTGAATGAACTGAGAATGCATGAGGGGTTCTAAGCTGCCCAGCTCCAGGATGATGCTGTCGCCCTCACACCCCTGTGCCTGGTGGGACTGGAAGCCTTGAAAACATGTGCCTTTGACCAGAACCCTGTGGGTGTCAGGCCGGAGGGTTCCCTTGGACATCTGTCTAATAGACTTTTCTGCCCTCAGCTGTTTGCTGTCGCTCCGTTGACCACCACCCCTGAGCTATCTGGGGCAGCAGGGGCAGCCAAAGCCGTCAGCCAAGCCATGGACAGAATGGGCCCTTTGGGAAGCAGGTACTCACTGAGACAGGCACAGAACCCAGAAAACTCACTGCAGTGTGGCCATGAGAGTCTCATAAACAAGGCTTTCCTGTTGTGTTAGTACTTTTGCTTAGCTGTGACTAACATATCTTGAACAACAAACATGAGACACTTAGTTGTGGCTGTCAGCTTGACTGGATTGAGAAGCACCGAGGGGCTGCGTGAGGCATACCTCCAGGCAGCTAGATCACCGAGGGTTCTGACCTAACAAATGATACAGCTTAGGGAGGAAGGATTTAATATGGCTTATGGTTTCAGAGTTGTCAGTCCATCTTGGTGGGTGGGCATGGCAGAGCAGAACAGCTCCCATCATAGCAACCAGGAAGCACAGAGAATTACAGGAAGAGGCCAAGGACACACCTCCAGTAACCTACTTCCTACAAAGGCCATGCCTCCCACTTTTCACCACCTCCCAGTGTTGTGTTCATATCAGGAATCCCTCAGTAGCTGAAACCAGTCACTATATAAGAGTCCTGATGATCTCTATTCTGTCTGGAAACACCTCCCAGACAGGTCTGGAGATGTGCCTCACCCAGCTCCTACGCAGTTCTCAATCCAGTCAAGCTGACAGTCAAGACTAAGCATCCTGCACTTGTTATTCCAGAGCATGTTAACTGCAACTTTAGACTCACATTACCCTCACTGCTTCCAGCCCCAAGGCACAATGCTGATGGCCTCAGGCATACAGACCCACTCTTTCCCCTTGGTATGGAAGACATGCAGCTGGTAAGGGTGCTCTGTAACACCTCCAGAACCCTGAAAACACAGAGAATCCTGCAAGTGGCTCTTAGCTTATTCATTTTGGTCTCCACCTGAGCAAGCTAGAACCACCTCAAGGCTTCTACTGATGCACCTTGCACAACTTGGGGCTGAACTTATTCCCAAACTGACTTAGCAAAAGGGTGATCAAAGCATCATCCTTTGAAACTCCTTTTCTCTGTTAAAAAGTATGTTCAAGTGCAGCATTGTGTCCCTTAACATGTAGCATCCAACCCTGGAATTATCAAGTTGTGCTAGCAAAATAGATTCCCCTCTAGTCTTCAGGGAAAAGTGGTCCTCAGAAAGATCCAGTTGGAGCCTGCAGTATCACCAGGACTTGGCATACAGGCACACTCCAGGGTCATCATGCAGGAATATGCATGTCACAGACTACTTGGCTGAGGGGCAGGAGGGGACTGCAGTGTAGTCTGCATTGCTGACTACTAAGTGGCCCTAACCTGAAGCTGCATCAGGCCAGAAAAGGGGTGAGGCTATTCCACAGCACAGAATGGGGTGTGCTAGCCAAGCCATGTGCCCTCTAAGTCTCAGTTCATCCCCAAAGGAGCTCCTGTTCATAGTGTGTCAGAAGACTAAATGGCTCAAGGCATAGCTCTCCATTCTTGCACATCTGCAGACCCATGTTGGGGGCAGGGGCACGCTCTGCTCTATTGTGGCCATAAATCAGAGTTCCAGGTTCCTGGCTGGGAGTCTGGTTTGCATCTGGCAGCTCTGCAGAAGGCAGCACTCATCACCAAGCACTGCCTTCTTTATCACCAAGATCCTCTGGAATAACGAGTTCTGGGAGTGCTCAATTTGAAGCCACACATTTGGGGTACTAAGAAGCACCCTTGCTGGGTCTGGGGTGCTTGTCTTCCACAGCAAGGGAACAGGGGGAATGGGTGGGCCTCTGTGCCTTAGGTCAGTATTTTCTGTAAAGGACCTTCTGGGAAATCCTGCAGGCTTAGCAGTTGGGGTTTTTGTTGTTTGTTGTTAGCTTGAACAATGTTTACAACACATAAAAGTCACTCTTAGCTGCAGGCCATACAGCAACAGCCTGTGGGCTGGGTGTGACTCATGCCCTTTGTGTGGCTGACCCTTTCCCTCTGACTCTGAGAAACTTCTCTGTCAGCTAGGGAGATCAGCTGCCTTATCCAAGCTGCCTTGTTACTAATTGTTCAGCTGTTTACAGAGGTAGAAACAGAACTGCCTGTGTGGCCTTTGAGCTGCCTCAGGGTGCAGCCACTTCTGGTGGGATCTAAAGGTGCTGGCCCTTTTGTGGGGATGTTCTTTTTGGTGTGTCATTTGTCATTGCCTCTGCCAAAACAAAATCCTATTTCAGACAACAGCAGAAGCTTCTGGAAGTCCTACAGACCATAGAAAGCGACTCTGCCCATCTCAGTGGGGTGGCCGCACCAGCAGAGAAACCAGTGCTAGACCCAGAGGTGAGAGACTACACTCATGGGAACAGCCCTGTGCACCAGTGTCACCCTGAAAGTTGAAGGAAGGGCTCCTTGGCAGTCGCTTCTAGTTGGTCATCTTAGCAGCTTTCTGCCCATCTTTGGTCTCATCTTTCCCAGAACAGACATACACATGATGAAGCAAAAGAAGAAAGGCCAGAAGAGTGGCAAGAGAAAGCATAAATAGCCTATAAGCCCATAGGAAGATATCCAGCATTGCCCATAGTTAAGAGTGAAAATTGACCTTGGCATGTGTGGAGGGGCATGCCTATAACTGGGAGGCTGAGGCAAGGAGGAACGCAAGCTGGAGGCCAACCTGAGCTACGTAGTGAGACTGTCTCAAAGTAAAACAAAACAAACAAAAGGAATACAAGTCAGAACAACTATAATATCTCCTTTGACGTGTGTCAACAGGTTATTTTGACAGCACCTCCCACAATGTCTAGGTCATAGGCACATGGGTGCATATCTGGCTGCCTGGTGGCTGTCTGCATGGACGAAGTCCTCTTGGGCAGCAGAGGGGCTAGCCTCAGGAAGAGCCATAGAAACACACATGTCTCCTAGCCCAGCAATCCACCCTCAGCCTAAGGAAATCTCTGGACAGAAATATAAAGCTGTTGGACAAAGATGCGTGTTACAGAATTGTTGGAAAGGAAGGAAAGAAGAGGGAGAATAGGGAAACAGCTTCAGAGTTAGTCATGCATTAGTGTCCCGTCAGCAAGGGCAGCCACACAGAAGACAGGCATAGACACAGAAATACAAGATATCCATGTATGCCTATAACCCCAGCACCTAAGAGGCTGAGGCAGGATTGTGAGTTTAAGGCCAACCTGGACTGTATCACGAGACCCTGTGTCAACAAACCAAAAAAAAAAAAAAACATTTTTTTTTTTAATAAAAAAAAAGGGGGGGGGGAAAAAAAAAAAAAAATGAAGTTAGGACTGGCAAGGGGGCCAAGCTTGTGAGTTTAAGGCCAACCTGGACTGTATCACGAGACCCTGTGTCAACAAACCAAAAAAAAAAAAAAACATTTTTTTTTTTAATGAAAAGAAAGGAGGGAGAGAAAATATAAAATATATGAAGTTAGGACTGGCAAGGTGGCTCAGCAAGGAAAGGCATTTGCTCTCAAGTCTGATGATCTGAGTAGAGTATGATCCCAGAATTCACACAGTGGAAAGAACTGACTCCTGAAAGTTGAATTGTCCTCTGACCTACACATGCTCACCCACACATCCATACAATAAATAAATAAAAATTTTAAATTGAATTATCTAAAGTTAGTTGCAAATACTAGTATTCAAAGGTATTGCAGTGGCCATGTGAGCATGTGACTGGAGCTGTGATATAAACCACAAAAGGAAACTGGCTTTAAAGTTGCAGGATAACATGTGCCAAAAAGCTTGTGTCCCAGCAGATCTTCCTTTACCTAAAGCTCATGTGGTAATGGGCAGTGGTCACCACTGTGATTATTGGCCAATGAGGAGTTCATAATGAAGTTCTTCCAGAGCCACATGGACAGCACACACAGTAGCAGCAGCAGTCCTGGGATAGCTTGACTGGGGTTTCTGCTTTGATACTTATGCTGTCATTTAGGGGCCCTATGACTTTGCACGAGCCCCTCGGGTGTCTGTAGTAGTTACGTAGAGCAGATCCTCCAAGCCCCATGAAAGAAAGGTCTGTGAGGGTGCACCACTCAGAGCCTGGCACAGGGCAGGAGGAGCCCATAAGCATCAGTTGAAAGTTCATCTTCAAGAAAATCACAGCTTTGCTCCCTGCCTCTGCCCAGCATGGAATAAGCTGCTTCCTTAGCTTGGAAGAATCATAGTATGGTGTGACTTGGGTCACATTCAAAAGTACCCAGATTGATTGAGTTTCTTTATAGCAGACAGAAAATCTGGGGCAAACTGACTTATACAATAAAGAGAAAGAAATTGTGGGTTCTGGTCATGAAAATCCCAAGGGTGGGGCCCAGTAGGGATCCAGCTGTCAGCCAAGTCTTTCCGATTGGTCTCGGTGGAGACAGGTGTACCCTTGGGCTCCATCCCAATGCTTTCTCCTGAGTTCCTAACAGCTACAGCAGTCGCCCCTGTCCCACACTGAAGGAGAAAAGAATATACTTCCCATACAAGGCTGACACTGGCATGCCTGCACTGCCCTGAGCTGCTCAGCAAACACCTTCCTGTTGGCCCAGGGGATAGCACATACTGCTAGGAAAGGGTTAGTCTCCTGTACTATGATGGCTGAGGAAGGGTAAGTGGTTGGTCTCATAGCTAGAGGAAGCTCAGGTGGTGTCGGTGAGAAGTGTGTGCCAGGGACCAGTGCCTTCCCAACAAGTGTTCCCTCAGCCTGGCAGAGATGGTCTTGAGTCAGGCCACTCAGAACATAGGAAGAGCTGTCCAGCTGGGATGCTGACACATGGTTTCACTTCCTCAGTCCATACACTGGCTTCTGCGTTTAGCATTTCTGTTCAGGAATTGTGTGTTTGAGATTGCACTGAACAGAAGGTACCCAGCCTTCTTCAGGAAGCTTTCCTCCCATCTGGCCCTCCTCCCTACCACCAGCAAACAAAATGAACAGCACTGTTCACCTGGCCTCAGAATGCTCCACCCAGCTCAGGCTCGGTCCTGCCAACTCCAGAGTCAGCCAGGCCAGTCCTGCATGCCTGGGACTCAGATCAGGACAGTCAAGGACCTGGTCAGGACTGGCACACTAGAGGACAAGGGAGCCATGGGTCCTGACAGTCCAATTAATTGACACTGGTGCTGCATTCCTTCTGGGAATTCTGAGTTGACCTGTCCTTACCCCTGTCTCCTCATTCCTACTGTGTGGCAGTCAGCTCATCCAAACCCACACTGGGAGCACTAGCATGTCTCACTGGCTATTAATTAAAAAAATAAGTGGGGAACAGTTGCTGTTCATTTGCTCGGCTCCTTGCTCACAGAACCGTTGCAGATACCAGCACTAATTAACAGAGGGCACATGCACGCAGGGAATGCACCATTTCATGAGTGGCTGATCCGTGGCGGCCAGCACTGCAGTCAGGCCCTGAGGGCCTCCAGGAAGCCAAGGTGCAGAGTTGCTGTTTATTGATGGCATTCACGCACGCTCCCAAGCCAGACAGCCGGGGAAGAAAGCAGGCATTAAAATCAAGGAAGGAGAGCTGGGGAAGGAAGCCAACTCTGACCCAGTACACACAAGGCATTTTTGGGCATTGGGAGCTTGCTTAACCTCAAGACTGGGACTTCCACATGGTGGCACCTTGCTCCCCTGTCCCCTTCCAGACTAAGGGATATCAAGTGACTGGCCAAGGCGGGGGTGAGGGGGCATGACTTTGGTACATGCTGCAGGTATTGAGCTCAGTGTACATGTTGATAGTTCTAACAGCAGACTGGTTTTTCTCATCGTTGCAGAGATGCAAAGTTCAAGGTCATACCCAGACTGATTTCTGAGCGCTACTCATTGCCTTGCAGGTGGCTGCTTCCTTACATTGCTCACATGGTTCTTTTCCTGTGTCTGCCTGTGGCTCTAAATTTGCCTCCTTAGGCCTTCTTATAAGGCCTCCAGTCAGATTAGAAGAGGGCCCTCCCCAGTGGCCTTATTTTGATTTAATCATCTCTTAAAGGCCCTGTCTCCAAGCAGTCATGTCCTGGGACACTTGGGGTTAGTTTGGAGGGACCCAAGGCAACTTACCCACTTTGGATATCACAGTGTACTCCTGGGACATAAAATTTTGTCTTGGGGGAGGGGAGCACACTCTGCTCAGGAAGAATCTGGTCTTTTAAAATGCTTCTAAAGTGTGTGAATGTTTTGTCTGCATGTAAGTGCACCATGTATATGCACTGCTCTTGGAGGCCAGAAGAGGACATTGAATCACCTAGAACTAGAGTTGGGGAGGTTATTAACTACCATGTGGGTGCCAGGAACCAAACCCAGATCCTCTGCAAGAGTAGCCCAGTGCTCTTAACCACTTAGCCATCTCTCCAGTCCCTTATTTTTAAATTTTTATGTTTTACTTATTATTATTAAGGCGTATGATATGTGTGTGTGTGAGAGTGGGCAAGTACATGTCATGGCACTGTGTGGAGGCCAGAGGACAGCTTGCAGGAGTCAGTTTTCCCTTTCCACCATGGGTTCTAGGGCTCAAACTCAGGTCATCAGGCTTCATAGCCTTTACTCACTGAGCCATTTCTCCATTCAGTTCCTATTTATTACAAATAGGAGTCTGTGTGAGTGTCCTAATAACCACAGGTGGCAGGAGCTGCTACTCTCTACAGATGACAGGTGGGGACCAGAGCACTGTGAGGCTGAACGTTGGCTGGTGGCCCTGGGTAGTAGAGTGATGACACTGCTCAGACCTGCTGCATCTTCACCCTGTCGTATTTTCTCTTAAGAACAAGTGGAGAACAAGAACAGATGAGATCAAAGATGCCATCTATGTAACCATGGAAATCCTGTCGAACTGGGGCAATGCATCATGGGTTGGTCTCACAGAAGTCCAGTTCTTTGACCTGAACAACACAATGCTTTATGTTTCACCTCATGATGTGGACATCCGGAACACAGAGTCACCAGGAGAGCTGGGCTACCTCATCAACAGGGACTTAGTGGTAAGTAGAAGGTGCCTAGGCTCAGCTCTCTGCTGTGTAATTTGGTGCATGTCCTTTATCCCAGACAAGGGTGTGGTTCCAGGTTCCCCCAGCTGTTGTCTACCCCAGTCACTCTCTGACTGGCAGAATGAGGAGTGGTACCCACTGAGGCTCCCAAGTGTCTCTCCCTGAGGTCTTCCCCACACCTCTGCTCTGTGCCAGTTTTCTTAGGGAAGCCAGACCACCTGCTATGATCCACCTTGCTATTCATCACTGTTCCCACTAAACGTGGGACACCAGGGGTAATTAGGGCCAGTGCCTTCATTTTGCAGAGGAAGAAACTAAGACTTGGAGATGAGTATGCACATGACCAAGGTTATGTAGAGGGAGGAGGTAGAACCAAGTCTTTGACCTGTAGCCTGGCCTAAGCACTGTGCCCATACCTCCTCAGGCTACTGCTTCCTGAGGCCACAGGCCACATCTAACAAACAGTGACTGTTTTTATTTTAGATGACTAATAGAGGTTATTCTTTCTTAAGCACTGGTATTTTCTCTTGTCACTCTTTTGGCTTTTACAGTTTATCCCTGTCTGGCCTCGAACCCACTACCAAGCCTAAGGTAACCTTGAACCACCACCCTATTCCCTCTGTTTCCCTAGTACTGGAGTTACAGTTGCATGCCACCATGCCCGCTTCATGTTGCACTGAGGAGGCCAGACAGCCTCTTGGCCTTCCTGTGCTGTGTTTGGCATTATTTCTGACTGCCTCGGGGGGGCGGGGGGCTGAGAAACTAGGAGCAGAGCAGCAGACAGGGCAGAGTGACAGGTGCTCTTCCATCCCTTTTAAAGCCCTGCTTAAGCCTGGATTATACAGTCCACTGAAAATTAATATTGCTTTTAAAGTCCTGAAAAATGCAAATAGCTGCCACATATTCAGTCCTTGTGCTGGGGCAGGAATGGCTCAAAGTACATAAGATCCTAGTGACACCTACAGCCACAGGCTGGAGAAGCAGATAGAACTGGTTTCAAAGTTGGCTACTCACAACCTCCCACCCACAGACTACTGGCCTAACCTTGACTTTGGTTTCCTGGTATGTGCCATGGGAACATAACGGTAGTTACCTGATGTAATGCAGGAAGGATCAGATGTCAGCAGGAGGAGCTTAGTGCCATGTCTAGCTCTTCCCAAGGCTCCAGAACACCAGCAATTGCTGCTTTCCCCGGTGAACACCACTAAGAAAGCAGTCTTATTGTGCCCCTTCAAAGACTAGATAACAGGAAAGGGGGAGTCTTTGAAATTCCCGACTCCTGGTCTTGCCTGTGTGGTCTTAAGTAACTTATCTGCCGTTTCTGAGAGTTTACTTTTCTGCCCCCTGCTAAATGGGAGAGTGATAGTCTGTTGAAAACCCTTAGATTGCCAGCAATGGAAAGTCTAGCTCATGTTAGCATAGTTTTTTTAAAAGGAGATTTGTTTCAGCCAGGTGTAGTTGTGGGCACTCGTAGACCTAGCACTCAGGAGGCTTGAAGTAGGAGGATCTCGAGTTTGAGGTAATTTTGGGCTACATAGTAAGACCTTGTCTCAAAAAACCAAATGCTAGGTTACAGCTTACTGGTCAAATATTGCTTGTCTAGCATGCTTAAGGCCCCGGGTTCCATCCCCAGCTCTAACAGGAAGGAAAGGAGGGAGGGAGGGAGGAAAGTAAGAAGGGAGGAAGAAAGGAATAGAGAGACAGAAGGAAGAAGGGAAGAGTTTGAAGTCTTAAACAACTGGTAGTTTCCATTGCTGGAGCTACCAGGGAAGAAGGCAGAAAGGGAGGGAAGGTTGGTTTGAAGTCCTCTCTGTAGCTGGTGTACTGTCCTGAGGCTGAAGTGGACATCATGGGGTCCTGTGTGGCATCCTGGGCACCAAGGGTCTGGTCTTTGGAGGCAGCATGAGCAGGTCTAGATTCTGCTGGAAGGACTTTTGAACTTGAGATCCTGTGGGAAAATTACACTGCCTCACTTGGGCACTTGACTCGCCTTTGGGTGGAATGGGCAACTCATGGCAGCAGAGCTCATGGCAGATCTGTGTTATGGGTTGTGACTTGTGGTCATGGGATTCTGTCACACAAGAGTATGAAGGAGAAGGGGAGATGGAGAAAAAGAGATATCCATCCTCCTAGTTCATAAACATTTATTGTGCTGACACAGCAAGGGGTGGCTGTCTGGTTAGTTTGTTCCTCTGTCACACTGCTGACACTAACTGGTCCTCAGAGAAGAAAGTTATGGACCAACATGGCATGGCACCTGGATGCTAGATCCACCAAGATGCAAGTCAGCAGTGACCCTTCCCCCAAATCCAGGACTTGTACTTAAAGAAGGCAGGATAGAATAGATAGCTGAGCTCCAGGCTGGGCACCAGGCTGCGCAGGGGAACGTGACATTCCAGGGCAGCAGCTCAGTGGCCTAGCCCCTGGATGCTTTGTCTCACTACATCTCTGCCTGGCCTCTAGACTCTAGTTTGTGGGCTGCAGCTTGCTGCTGGGGTTCAGAGATTCAGACCAACTCTTGCCACCTTGCCTGGACTCCTCATGCAGACAGCATAGGCACATTGGAAGTCTGTTTTCTAGAACAGGGCACAGGACAGGTGACAGAAAGCATCACTGGATTCAGTAGGGATCAGTTCTGATGATGGCTCTGCCTCTCCTGGCTACTGGGCTTTAACTAGCAGATGACAGAGAGGATCTAGTCATGGTTTCATGGGTTTGGTTTTCTTTGGGGGTGGGGACTGAAGTTGGGGCACAAGGCAGCTGTGTCCCCCTGGGCTGCTGAATCTCTGGATCCTCCTATGTGGGGACTGGACCCTCTGATCCTCTCCGTATCTGTTTGCCAGGCCTAGGGCAACCAGGACATGCTATCTCACCTGCATCCAGTGTACCGGTTTCAGCCTGTTCTATCTCACTTGACCCCCACCTTGCTCTGACAGTGAACCTTGATCTGACAGTCCTCATTTCACCAATGGGAAAAGCAGGCCTCAGAGGGCTGAGGGACCTTCCTTGACAACACAGTGGTGGCTGGTGGGGCCCCACTGACAGCTGAGCATAAGTACTTTGAAGAAGAATGGGTTTGAAGGAGAAGATGCTTCCATGGAGGGAATTGGGGGCACACTGGCAGATTTGGAAGGGCCAGGCTCCATGCAAAACCCACTTCCTGGGTCAGGAGTGATGGAGGCACACATCTGTCCCAGCATTCAGAGGCAGGAGGGCCATTCATTGGAAGCCAACCTGGGTTACATAGTGAGACCCAATCTTAAAATACCAAAACAGAGGCTGGAGAGACGACTCATTTGGTAAAGTGCTGGCTGTGCAAGCATTAAGAACCTGAGTCAGATCCCCCAGTGCGCGTGTTTAAAAAAAAAAGCTGAGCACACCAGTGCATATCTGTGACCCTAGTGCTAGGTGAGGTTTTGGGGTGGGGGAGCAGAGATAGGCGGATCCCTGGAGTTCACTGGCTAGTCAGCCTAGCTAAATAGCTGAATCAGTGAGCTCCAGGTTCAGTAACACTCTGTCTCCAAATATAAGGTAGATAGCAACTGAGGAAAACACTTGTCCACCTCTGGCCTCTATATATGCATGTATACATACATACATACATACATACATACATACATATATGCACACACACAGATGAAAATGTACATATACCCCACACATGAAGAAAAGAAGTAACAAAAACAGAATAAAAGACAAAACCTCTTTTCTATGTCCATCCCTGTGTCCCTGGCCCTTCCCTCTGTGCCCACCCCCTCTGTCCCTGGCCCTTCCCTCCGTGCCCACCCCCTCTGTCCCTGGCCCTTCCCTCCATACCCAC